CAAACAAAATTCCCAATAATCCAAAAATGCAATAAAATCATACAACGAAGAGAGAATATCGCATCAGTTTAAATCAATAAAATGCATATAAGCGAGCAAAAAAATAGGATCAACAACACTCAACAATAGACACCAATACTCGAGCTTAAATTACCAGTAATTTCGTCTCAAGAGCCACATTTCCATTGTGAATCACGATAAACAGTGTAATAACATCAGTTCGAAACTCCTCATAATAGACACGAATATTGGTCAGCGATTCCTCCAGTAAAATCAAGTCCGTCTTGTGAACCTTCAGACACACAGCACCAACGTATTTCACGTCAATGAACGGATCAGCAAGACACTATAGAAAATGGAGAAGAAATGATATAGAAAAGTGATCAAGAAGATGAAAATGAAGAGGATGAAAAACAAAATAAATACGAAGGCTCGAACGCGTAATTGCTGACTTCAAATTATATTTGCCCCCTTTTGGTTATAATTTTGGTGCTTAAAGGGTCTCGCGACAAACAATACGTAGGATTATATGAAGCCTTGTAGAGAATCGAATGCTTAAGCACATGCATGATTTTCCAAAACTTGAAGAACACTAGAAGATTTTGAATATGGATGAAGAAGACTTTGGTTTCTTCTTGTAGAATGAAAGAATGTTTATCATATGTCGGAGTTCTAGGGAAGAACCTAGAACCCGATCTAGGGTTGAATAGCAACTCGTACAAGCATATTCTCGGCATCAATACACTAACTCCTGGGAATATCCAATCGAAAATAGCCAATTAGAAGAGTGGCTTAAAAGTATGATTTTCAATGTATTTGTAAAGACCATTAGATACCTATTTATAGCCATGAAACATTGTCACACAAAATGGTGCCAAAAGGAAGTGAAAAGCCGCCAAAAATCAAAACTTAAAACCGTTCAACGGTCATTTTCTCCTTCCATGCCACAACATGTATTACTCCATGCGGTCGCATGGAGTAACTCAGAAAGGTCCTCCAAGTTTCGGACAGTCGCATGGCCAGATTGCTATGCGGTCGCAATGCATTCATCTTAGGCCTCTGATTTTTGTTTTATTCTACTTTCGTTCCTTGTTTCACTTTCATTTCATACACATGATTCTTTTGATGTTGAACAACAATATCAGACACTCGTAGACCGATTTCAGATCGTTAGATAGCAACGCTTCTAGAAGTCGCTGGGAGACCTCCGCTCGTAGTCCACCAGAACCACCTGTTTCCCAATGAGAAAACCTCCTCCTCCCCTTCCATCCCTTAAAACCATCATTTTTGGCTGAACATGTGGTGGCGCAACTAACTCCACATCTAAAGACCTTTACAAGAGACGCAAACTGTCTCTGGGTATATGCATTGTATACCTATGTATATAGGTAGAGTAGTATGAGCAAATATAGCTGTGTTTTTTATCAGTTTCTCTTACTAGAGAGAATGGTGCGTCAGACTCAAGGAAGAGTGGAGAAACTTGAATGGAGTAAGCGCCAGTCTAAAAATGGGGTGGGGGTTATTTAGCCCTTGTTTGAGCTCCATTCCTTTAGAAAAAAATGCATCTTTAAACAATATTTTGACATCATTTCAAACACATATTTTTCAATAAAGTAATAATGCACGTAAATTCAAAACTATTTTCTTTTTTTAACCACATATTTTTCATCAATACACTATTTAAAAATACATTTTCCCCAAAATGGGGCTCAAACAAGGGCTTATAGCACTCGTTTGAGCCTTGTGCTTCTAAAAATTCATTTGTACCGCACATTTTTAGTAAAATAATATTACACGTAAATTCAAAATTTTCCTTAAATTTAAACCTCACATTCTTCATCAATAACTATACATGGCGACGAGGGCGTCGCCAAATTCGGTGGGGGAGTGACTTATGCCCCATGCAGTCGCGTTCGATCTTTTAAAAATGCATTCTTTTCCTCAAAATGAAGATCAAACAAAGGCATAGATTTTTCCACAAGGAGAAGGGTTTAAAAGAGGAGTTTTGCTAATTGTATCCTCACACGAGGGCGGGCCACGTTGAATAAAAAAATTTGTGAGCCCCTTTCTTAAGAGAGGATTGTACATCGAAATGTCAAGTTAACACTTAGCATGGTCCTTAAAAGAGCAAAGCTGCTTCAGTTAACACATATACTTTAGTTGTCATATTATTTTATTGAAGAATGCGTGGTTTAAAATAAGTTTTTGATAAAATGAATTCATAGAAAAATGGGGCTTAAACAAGGGCCTAACATTATTCTCAAAAGAGTGGCGTGGGGGTGGGCCCATGTGGAAGTGAACGAATTGAGTTGGATGGCTAGTTGCATGTCATATATGTTTGGTGAGTTAAAATACGACAATTGAATCTATACATCTCAGTAGCTCGAAAATCTTAAGACGATCGACAATGTCAATTTCATGCTATGATTTGCTAATTGAGTTAATTTATCTATGGTCACTGAACTTTGCTCATCGAAAATTTAAAAAGTTATTATTTGTTCACCGAAGTTTATATAAATTACTACTTATCGAAACTTAAAATGTTGCTCACTGCTCATTTGAATTTGAACAAAGTTACTCATTGTTAATTGAACTTTATTGTGGATAACATTGATGGAAATTATCTGGGTAATTGATAGATAAACTTTGTTCGAAATTGGGTTAGCAAGGAGTAATCTTCACGATCTAAATTTTTGATGAATCAATTTATCTTTTTTGGGCGAAACATAGGATATCTCGATCAGGGAAGAGAATGGGAAAATCCCATATGACCTAATATATTGCTTGGGAGCTTACGATTTCATATTCTATTTCACTCTCCAATGGGGGCTCTTTTCACCATTCCCCCATGGTACTACTTCACCGAAGTAGGAGAAGATCAAGAAAACAGACCATTAGAATCTAAAAATCGTTCAAGAAAAGCCAAATGTATAGTAACTTTTATTGGTAAAAAAGAGCATACTGACGATATTAATATTCCTGATCAATCAGACGAAGTAGCTTTAAGTTATTCAAAACAATCAGATTACCAAAACATGTCATTCAAAGCTTCTATTGACAAAGATGGGTTGTCAAGAACGTAGAGATGGTAGGATGAAATAATGGCACTTGAGAAAATATTGTTTCCGTAAAGTAGAGATCCAAAAACAGGTTCACGAATTTCATCAATATCTACTAGAGGTTTCCTTCGAGGGATGGATCTTGAATGAGCCCATACTGTTCCAGAAAGTATCCCTATGGTTAAAAAGATAAATCCTAGACTAATAACCTGATAATTCCAATAATCTCGATGAGCAGGTAGTAATTTATAGTAAAGTTTGGTAAGCAACGAGTAACCTTTCGAAAATCGGTGAACAAGTAGTAATCTATAACAAAGTTCAGTTATCATTGATTAAATTATCTCTTCGCTAATTTCCTCTTTGAGTCACTATTTTCAAAATGGATCCACAAATTAATCCAAAAAAAGATTGAATTTGATTTTGAAATTTTCAACTTCTTAGATGAAATCGGTTGATCCAAACTTATGACACTGGTTTATACCATGACGCATATGAAGTTTTTATATTTTCAACTTTTAATAGTAATTAAATATTTAGAGGGTGTTTGAGACTCATTTTCATGTAAAAATGTATTTTAGAATAGTAATTTGATGGGAAATATATGGTTGAAAAATAAGGAAAAATCTTCGATTTACATATAATATTATTTTAATAAAAAATGTGTGATTGAAAAGAAGAAAAAGAAAAATGCATTTTGAAAAAAATAATTACCAAACGGGGCCTTAGTTCAACTCCAAAGACGTACAATTGGCAATATTTTACAAAGAAAAATCATGCACACTGGGAGAAAACTTACCAGAATGTCAGTTGAGTCTCATTGCATTTGTATCTACTTCGGGAGTCAGTGTGAGTATTTCAGAAGCCAACTGTAGTCAACCTCCTTTGACCAACATTTTACTGCCTTATCCATCCCCTGTTTAGTGGTCGGACTCGGCGCCCGTGTCACACTATTCTTTTCTTCTGAATGATTATTTACAAATGTTTATCGTGTTCAGTTCTTGCTTTTATTTATTTCGCACATTTTCAACAAGTTCAAATCTTGAAAGGAGTTGGAAACACTTGCTAGTGAATTTGGTCTAACATAGATGGAATTCTATCTTTCAAAGTTTTTCTTATCACATTTAAATTGTTTACAAGGTGACCTCAATTCACGTGTGCGAGTAAACTGATTTCATGTAGAACAATTAACTTTGTCAATGAAGTTATTCAAAGTCATGATTCAATCGATATGAACTATAGTTTTCCAAGTGCAAGAAAAATGTAGTGTGCATTTTTATATACAATATTCATTCAAACTACTATCGTGATATCTTCAAACAAAAAGGGTAGGTTGTCACCAGATCCACAATCTAAAAAAATTATGCAAGTTTGATTGGTCATTATGAACGCTCGAAAGTGCACCACTAAAAGTGCTAGGCTCCGAAGAAAGTGAAGTGTTACATCCCACATAACCCGAGAAAGAAAATATCGTACACATTAAGCATAATACTCATATAGACTGCAATAGAAGATTTTTCCATATTGAAGCTAGGGATGAGTCATTTGAGTCAGTCTATACGTACACAGAAATTCCATAGAAACAATACAGAAATCCAAAACAAATGTAGTTGTTGAGGGAAAAGAAAAAGTATAAAGAGTAAATGAAAAAACAAAGAACTGCCACATCATCATTTTCAAAAATCCTGTAGCTTACCTGTGAAAATTTCTGTACATTCAGCATAAATCGAGTCATTTAGTAGATAAAAAACTTGATAATAG